GCATTGGGACGCAGGAGAACAGGAATGTAGACCAGCCACAGGCCCTCATTTTCATTGTCTGGAAAACCAGACCAGGCCCACTGTGTTCAGAGCGGGTGAGAGACTTCAGCAGGGGATGGGCCTCCCGGCTCTGCTATTCCTCATGACCTCCCTCGGGACACATTGCAGAGCAAAATCTACTTTGGGCAGTTTTATTTGTGAGGTGTCAAATATTATTTTTGCAGGGGGCAAAATGTCCTCAAAAGTCTGAAGCCACTGGACTAGATGATCTCTGAGATTCTTCCAGCTCTAATGATGTGATTTTATGAATTTAGAATTGAGTCAGAGACTTGACAACTGAAATCATAGTGCCCAGAACGTCTGTGTAAGTGCTGTGGGTGTTTTGCAGGCGGACAGTCCAGAAGACATGCACAGCTGGATTAAGGAGATCAGGGCAGCTGTCCAGGCCCTCAAGTGCCACCCCAGAGTAAGTCACTTCCTTTCTGCTGCATAGTCACTGTCAACTTATCGATGATTGTCCCGAAGCCTGCAGGCTTTATTTGGTGACGCAGGCTGCAGCCTGGTCCTAGCTGAAGCCCAGGCCGTCTTGTTTTTCTCTTTCGACTGACTTGGGCACACATGTTTGTTTTTTGGTTTTGGTTGTCAGAGGAGGTAGGGCTGGGTAGAGAAACAGAGTTTCCGATGTGTCGTGCGTGTACACCTCCCTGCCAGGCAGACCTTGACGAGTCTGGCGAGAATCCCATGCGACCTATTCGATTTCTGTAGACAAGTGTCTCTGGACCCGTGAGGTGGTGAACCTGGGAACTCTTCCAGGGGCCTTGGGATAAACATTGTCAGGAAAGGCCTTGCTTTCATTTATTTTTCTTGCTTTTTATTTTTGTAGGATCTATCCTTTTCTAGATCCATTTCTTTGACTCGCCCTGGAAGCTCCAGCCTCTCAGGTGGGCCCAACTCTGTCTTCTGCAGAGGGCGGCCACCTGCGGAAGAGAAAAAAGCCCTCTGCAAAGCCCCCTCCGTGGCCTCCTCCTGGCAACCCTGGACGCCTGTCCCCCAGGCTGGAGAAAAGCTCCATCCGGCTGAAGAGACTCCTGAGGACTCTTTGTTCACGCCTCGACTTGGGGAGAGCAATGCGTCTGGGGTATTGCCCAGCTCCCGGATAAGGCACCGATCAGAGCCCCAGCACCCCAAGGAGAAACCATTTATGTTCAACCTCGATGATGAGAACATACGGACTTCTGATGTGTGATGGGGCATAGTGCGCCAGGAGGGAGGGGCGGGGAGGACTCGAGAGAAGGAGGCCGTGACTCAGCGCCCCTATCTGTTAGGGGATAGTCAGAAGTCTTTATGCCACTCATATTCCTGTGGATGCTCTGTGGGAGGGGCCCATGCAGCTGGATTTTGTAAAAAAAAAAATTAGTGCAGTGTACTTAATTTGGGAAAATGACTAGGTTAGACCTGTAGGCATGCTCAGTGGAGAGCGGGTGGCCTCTTGTTCAACTATTGCAAGGTCGTCCTAATGAGAGGAGGTTGGAATTCCAATCTCGTCCCTGACCAAGTTTTATTCGCTTGTCCTTGTTTTAGCTCGTTCCCTTTGTTGTCAGGACAGGCACAAAATCTTAGGTCAGTCATCTGGGTTTAGCCTGTTTATTGGCCACAGTTTGACTGTGAAGAAGGGTGGCAACCAGCCCACCTGAAAGGAGGGAGGAATGGTGGCTGAGCCAGGCTCTACTTGAGGGGAGGTGTTAAAATCTGGGGGCTGGCTGGTGACCCTCAGAATGTCTACCAGGGCAGATCCCCGCACGACCCCCACAGGGGAAGAAAGACCTCTTGTAAGGAATGGGGAATGATTCACTTAATGCAGCAGCCAATTTTGAGAATTACTCTGTTGTTGTTTAGATGTTCTTTGACCCCAAATACTGTCAGTGTGAGGGACAGACCTGCGCACCTGGTTTCTGTGTCCGGCCCCAGGGATGGGCTTATCAGTGTTAAATGTTAGGACGACTGAGAACAGAACAGACATTTCTCTTGATATGGTGTTATGTTGGGATGTGTGGAAGGTTGATATGTATGTGATAATTCACTTGTATGGTAGATCAGATCTCTGTTTTAGATTTGCTTTGAAATAGGTGCTGGGAAGAGATGGATTAGAGTTCACCAAGCTAAGTTTTTTGGATCCATGCTTTCCAGACATAAGGAAAGGTCTGTTTTAGCAGAGACAGGTGGTCTTGAATCCTTGCCTCACAGCTCTCTTTTTGATGGGCCAATATTAGCCTAAGTTTCATGCTGTAATAGTGTATACCCTGGCAGGTTGCTTTCTTCCTGTTCTTTGTGTTGCCCTTTGAATGAAACCTTGTGTGTTTGCATGATCCGACCTTGTAATCCGATGCGGTTCCATGTACTTAAGAGCAGAGAGATGCAAAGATAATCTTGGTAGATATTTATATTTTTAATAAAATAGACACTGCATAGGAACATTGGTTTAGAGGCTATGCATTGCTGACTAGAGATTTCCCAGGTAGAAGAGCATAGGTCACATTTCCCACCCAAATTTCAGGGTGTGCCTTCTTTCATTCGACAAAAGGATACTATTTCTGGGGTCCCTGGGAGGATTTGTCTCTCCAGCTAATATGGTGAATTGCTACCAGGAACTGATCAGAGTCCCCTAAAGGGAGAGAAAAACATAACTCATTTCTGTCTGTAACTTTTATCAGCTAGATCAACTAATTATATCTTTAAATTAAAACATTAATGACAAGCAGAAGAGGCTGAGAGAAGCTTTGTCACCTAAGTGAATCCCTTTCCCTCTTTATGTCCAAACCAAATGCAGAGGCAAAAAGACGTGACCAGAAAATCCTTCATGACTTGAGGGAAATCTTACATTTTTTTCCCTGGAACCGCAGTTTCCTGGAAGTCAGTGTCATGCTGAAAACCGTCTTTGACTGCACTGTGTTGAAGCTGCCCTTCACTTACATAGCTTGGTCTCCTGGTCCTGGTATAAAAGGAAATCTGCTACTGAATCCATCGCTCTCCCCCACCCCCTCTCTCTTTTCTGCAGACTCCTGTATACTTTTGTCCTCAGAAATCCTCATTTGGGGAATTATTTATTTGTGAGTAGTCAAGGTTACAACATCCTTCAAGTAGCCTGCTTTCAAGAAGTCATTCCAAATTCTTGAAGCTCCTTGTCTCAGGTTTCATATTCCAGTTTTCCTTCAGAAAATTATTTGGCTAGATCAAAGAAAGTACACAGTGAGACTGAATTAATGAAAATAAATGAGGGACTCTTAAGAGCTCTAAACATTCCCTATCTCATGAAAAGTAAGTTATAGAAGTCTTTTGGTGTTTAAATTATAAAAATCTACTCATGTATCTCTTTTAAAGATTAAATTGTCTGTTATATTACTACTGCTAAAATAATTGGCCATCAAGTAAGCTAATAATGTTTCTTATTCAGTAAGGTCTATTTTGAGAATGTGTTAAATTAAACATACTTATAAATCCAGATTGTATTATCATGAAAGAGGGAAAAACAAGGACTCTGGTTGGCAACTACTTGGGAATTTCAAGTCAGAACATTGTTAATGTAGTTCCAACACCAGAGAAATAGAATTCTCTTCAGCTGAAGCTCGAAAGCGTTCTCATTCCCAAACCTTATTTCACAATTCCTTTTGTGTCCCTATTTCTTAACTTCTGGCCTATTTCACATCACAGCCTTTTAATGACATTATACATGTGAGCCAAAGATGTTGTATGTACGACCAAAGCATTTGGTTTTAAACGTACAAAGTGGAACCAAATGGAAAAAAATAGGGTAAGGATGCACTATAGGTTCATAGTTAAGTTCATAGGCTCTGGAATAAATCTGAGTTTTAAAAAAAGGAACTAAGAAAGGTACTGCATTGGCCTTGTGGAACGAAAACCTCTGAGTTGTGTTGTTTTTCATAAGATTTTTGGCGGGGTCTTGACTCACTATAAGTGACAGTATTTCAGGTGGTCTTCCCAATGGCTGAACCACTCACCATCCACTGTTACGGAAAAGCTTAAGGGTTTGCTATCTCAAGTTAGCTGATGGTTGCCGAACATAATTGGGCCTTTTGCATACTGCGAGTCATCATACATATACATTGAATAGAGTGACCTCAGGTCAAAATGTTGGAATTACACATCTGTTTCTGGGCAGATGCCGGAAGATTCCCGTGAGAAACAGTCAATGTAAGGTCCAGCTTTGGAGTTCACTTTGAAGCAAAAGGTTTTTTTTCTCTTCCTGAGCATAACTGCTCTGCCATAGGCTAAAAGGACCCAATTAAAAAAAACCCCAGCAGGTTCAGTAGTTGAGCAGTCGGATTTGAGGTTTATTTTCACTGTGAACCAGATTAACAGGCATATGTACGTAAAAATATTTTGGAAATGGACAGGTGTATTAAACCTTTTTATCAAGGTCACTTTTCGCCTTATTCCCCTTGAACTGTTTGACCTTTCCCTGCTGCTTAGGACGGTGTGGCATGACTCTGTGTTTTGAACCAGTGTGTTTCCGCTGTGAGATGCGCTCGCACCGCAAGCCCTGAGCTGAGTGCATGGAAACTTATGCTTCTCATTTTATGTGGTCTCTGAATTGGTATGTAGCAAAAAATAATTTTCTAAAACTGTTTTGTTGCTTGTTTTGTAATAAAACCATGTGAAATACTGAAATACGGTGTGTTTTCCTAACGCTGACCTGGGATGGGCGATCGCCCTGTCAGTCTGCCCCTATTGGTTTCATGGACTTCACAAAGTAGGTCCCTGCTCAGGGTGGGGCCCGGGACCTCTCATCGTCACGGCCTGGAGTGGGGTGGGGGGCGGGTGTGGCCCTCGGGAGAGACGGGTGTTGGGAAGACGCGTGGGTGTGTGTGCGGGGAGGTCTTCCAGGCTCTGCCCCTTAAAGTCGGAGACTGCTGGAGGCGGCACCCTAGCCGGGGCAGAGTGTGGCTGTGTGAGGGTGGTTGCGGTTCCGGAGTAAAGTAACTGGGAGAGTGGGAGGAAGAAGGGAGCAGGATGACTAGACCTTTGCTTCGACGAGCTGGGCTCGGACAATTCCTCCTGCTGTGGCTGCTGCTGGCCCCGGAGCCCGTTCCCAGGGCGGAGGCTCAGAGGACGTGGCGCTCTCCGCTGTGCCCCGCGGTCTGCGAGCCAATGCGCTGTCCCCCGCTGCCCACCTGCTCCGCGGGGACGGTGACGGACAGCTGCGGCTGCTGCCGCGTGTGCGCCGCGGCCGAGGGCGAGGTCTGCGGCGGGGCGCTCGGCCGGCCTTGTGCCCCGGGGCTGCAGTGCGGGGCTCCATTCAGCCCCCAGCGCCTGGGTGGCACCCGGTTGGGCACCTGCGGCTGCCCGGCGACAGGGGCGGCTGTGTGCGGCAGCGACGGGCGCACCTACCCCAGCCTGTGCGCGCTCCGTGCTGAGAACCGCGCGGCGCGCCGCCGCGGGGCACTCCCGGCGCTGCCGGTGCAGAAGGGGGACTGTCGGGATCCAGGTAAGTGTCAGGGAGGCGGGCTCTGAGGGCACTTGTGGAACTTTCTACGGGAACGTATTTCAATCACGCAGCTCGCCAGGGGTTCTACTCTCCTCTGTTGGCCTTAGGGATTCCTCTCGTTGTTTCTGATTTTATTCCCCTCTTAGGTGTGTCTCTACCGGTTCCTTTGTGGCTTTTTCCCCAGTTTCCTCCCCACACCTGTTAAAGGCCGTCTTCCTTCCTTCCTTCCTTCCTTCCTTCCTTCCTTCCTTCCTTCCTTCCTTCCTTCCTTCCTTCCTTCCTTCCTTCCTTCCTCCCTCCCTCCCTCCCTCCCTCCCTCTTTCCTTCCTTCCTTTCCTTCCTTCCTTCCTCTCTTTTTCCTCCCTCCCTCTCTCCCTTGCCCTCCTTCCCTCCTTCGTTTCCCAACCTGGATGACAGGTCTGAATGAAACACTGATGGGGAGACTGGAGAGGAGGGAAGGTGGAGGGAGACGCAGGGGAGAGACTGAGAGATTTGAGATCGGACCCCTGAGAGGGTCAGGAGGTGAGGGTCCCATTGCCCCCAAGAATGGAGCATTTTTTCCACAGGAACCAGAAGCGCAGGCTGGCTCAGGAGCAAGTACAACTTCATCGCAGAGGTGGTTGAGAAGGTGGCGCCATCAGTGGTTCACTTGCTGCTGTTTCACAGGTAAAGGAGGTAGGAGGAGGTCATCCACCAGCTACCGGCTGATTTTCTGCTCCAGGCCCTGCATTAAGCATCAGGTAGTGGTAAAAGTTGTGAGACTCAGCGCTGCAATCACCTGGTCAAGGTCGTTGAAGGGATAAGGATTCTGACTTCCAAATCTGGGAACTCCTGGGCACTTTACATGGCTGGGAGTTTTCTCTCCCTCACCTCCCACAGACCAAATTACATGTCAGGTGCAAGAGCTAGACAGCATCTGGATGATCTTGTTCAGCCCCTCACTGCCGTGGCAGGAAATCCCCTGCCACAAGGCCAGTTAGCAGTGGAATCTAAACAGGAAACAGACTTCCCAGGCTCCGTCCCTGCCTGGGTCCTCGTGATTCCGCACTAGGTCCTGATTTGGCACTAGGTCCACTTTTGCCCATAGTACTGTGGTTGGGTTAGGTTGGGCCTCTTTGGAGCGGAGGGTTGCTGCTCTGACCCACGCTGAAGAAGGGAGAATCGCTGGGAAGGGAGAGCTGGAATCAGCCCTCAGTGGCCACCGAACCCGTGGAGTCCAGTTATACATGGAGAAAATGAAAACACAGACAGGGAAAAGTAAAATGTATGAGAACACTGACATGCTTGATAAACGTGAGGTTTCCAGACTGTGGTGGGTGCCCTCCCTGCCCTGCCCTCTGCTTATGCTGTTGTCTTGCTGAGACAGGTCCCCTCTCAGCCGGGAGGACATTCCTGCATCCAGTGGCTCTGGGTTCATAGTGTCTGAGGATGGGCTCATTGTTACCAACGCCCATGTCCTCACCAACCGGCAGCGAATCCAGGCGGAGCTCCAGAGCGGGGCCCAGTATAAAGCCACTGTCAAGGACATTGACCACAAACTGGATCTCGCGCTGATTAAGATTGAGCCAAATGTGAGTACTCGAGGGCTAAATCAGAGCCTGTGTGTTGGGGGGATGTTCATCAATTTGCTCATGTTTTCTTCCCCACCCCATATCTTTTCACCTGGTGTATGCTGTTTTGCAATTTCTTTCTTTTCTGTCTTTTTTATTCTCTTTTGTTTATTTTCTTCCATGCCAGTCAGTACACGCATGACAATTTCTATTAACTATATAGCATAGTCGTTTTTGTTCTTCTTCACCACCTTCAACAGCTGCTGCTTCTGGGAAATTTACTTACCTTAGAGTACTCCCTTAGAGTACTCCCTTAGAGTACTGGGAATGATTGCAATGGCTTCAGAGCTGCTAAAGGATACTCTGAGGTCCTGTTTTCTCATGGGTGGTCTGCAGAGTAGCGGCATGGACATTGTCTAAGCAATTTTTAGTGAAAGGTGAAAAATGTATACGATCTGAAGAGAAACCAGCGTATCTAAGCAATTTTTAGAAATGCAGAATCTTGGACCCCAGTCAGGTCTGCTGAGTTAGAATCTGCATTTTCTTAAGCTCCCCAGGTGACTGGTTTGAGAAGAGCTGCTCTGGGTGATCTTATTTCTTTATTTATTTGGTGGCCAATTAACTTAATAAGCTTTTGAGCTGGACTGGTGCTGAGTAAATTGCTAATGTCAGTTCATGTTCATCAGTTACTTCACTTGCCGTTTATTTACAGTAATTTCTGCAAAGCAGTATTTTTAGATTTTAGAGATGATCCCAATCATCTTGAGAGGTGAGAGTTTGGGGGAGATTCTTGGATTATAAATCCCAAAGACTGTGTCATACATGTGTGGTACACAAACACTGCTTGATTCTCTTCTTGGTTTGTCCTCCCCATCCCTTCTTACCCGTGTGCAGACTGACCTTCCTGTATTGCTGCTGGGAAGGTCATCTGATCTGCGGGCTGGAGAGTTCGTGGTGGCCTTGGGCAGCCCGTTTTCTCTGCAGAACACAGTAACTGCAGGAATTGTCAGCACAACACAGCGAGAGGGAAAAGAACTAGGGCTGAAGGATTCAGACATGGACTATATCCAGACCGATGCCATAATTAATGTAAGTCACGTGGGAGGGCCATTGTGAGCCCATAAGATACTGGAAGTGTGATGAGGAGAACACTTCAGAGCCCCTTCTTTTCCTTTGGGCCTTTTGGCTGTGTCCAGAGTTCAGTTAGATCCTTAGGAGAGGGATGGAATACCTTGCAGTTAAGAGTTCAGCCTGTTTGATACGATAACTGGTGTCCATGATGTTGGGTGGTCTGTTGGGGTCTGTCAGAGAGCTCACCCTGCTGCAGACAGTGGTGGTCTTTCTGCTGTTGTTCTTTACCTGCAGTGACTTCAGTATTAATGATGACGAGGGCGGGGGGAGCAACTCTGCCTGCCTTGGGGGCACAGGGGCTTTACTAGAGCAGACTGCTTTCAGTAAACCTGTTTAGGAAACATGTATAGTTGACAGGGAGAAAAGTACTGATGGCTTTTTCAAATTCTGTCTTTAGCACGGGAATTCTGGGGGCCCTCTGGTGAACTTGGTAAGTGGCCACTGTCCTTGTTGCTTCATGTCTGTTCCTTTTAAAGACTTCATAAATTCCACGGTGCAGACTAATCCAAGTGCAGAAATCTGTGGGATGATGCTTTTCTATGACTGCATCTTCTGCAAACAGTTAGGAAAATTTCAGAGCTGCAGTGGATTTGTCATCCCTGCATGTGATCTCATCCAGCGGAGAGCGTCACGGTTTACTGATACTTTATTTACATGCTTTCTCTTTCCATCGGGTAGTTCACAAAGTCCTGGGTACTGGCCCATGGGAAACGACCACCTGTACTGTGTCATGTGTATCCTTGAAGAGCCCCTGCTGCTGCCTATGAAGAGCTGTCTCTCGTCTCAAAATGCTGGTTTAATGATATGGTCTCTCTGGGTTTCTAGTCTTGACCCACTTAGATGACAGAAATGCCACAGTGCAAATCCACTGCTCTGTCACATACTTAATTCTTAAATTTTATTCAGTCTCTGTAGCGTAAATGCCAGCATTTCTAGTTGCTCAAACGCATGTGGAAACAAAGCGGGCAATGTGATCATGTGGTGATGTGGTCATGCTCTCTGAGTTTCTGAGATGACTGGTTCTGGTTCATCTTCATGTATTATACTTGCTTGCAGGAGGGTGAATTGTACGTGAAGTTGTTGAGCGTTTTTACTCATAACGTTGCACGTCATTTTTTGTGCCTTCTTTCTCTGGTAGACAATGAGTTCCCTAGACCAGGGATCACATGCAAAATTTCAGGCCACCCTCTAGACGTACTGAATTATAATCTGTACTCTTATAGGACTAAACATTTCATTAAATAATATGACTTTTAAAATCCTTTCTGTTACCTAATAAAGGCTACAGGATGATGAAGTGCACAAAGAGGAAAGTATTTCTCACTTCGTAGCTTTGGTTTAGCAGAGCTTTGTTCCCAAAATCAATTTACCGATTCTTCTGAATAGTTTCATTGAAGTGTTTCTAAAAACCTAACAGCTCTTTGCCTTTGCCGTGTTTATTCTTAGCTTCATTTAAGGAATGAAAAGGCAAATACTCCTTGTCCTTTTATTTGGGTGAAATAACAGACTGTGGCTCACATTCAAACTCAATGTCATTTGGCGAAGGAAAAGTGAGCCCAAGATTAAAGAATAAATTCCTTAGCAGAAATCTGTACGTGTAGGTCCCCTGTGCAGTCCCACCACCCTCTTCACCCTCTAAGGCAACGTCCGCTGATCTCAACTGAAGAAGCACACGTTTCCTAGCCCTTCTGTGCTCTGACCAAAGTCACTAGCTTCACTCGTTGCTCAGTTTGCACAACTCGGTCACTGCATGGTATGTCCTCCCTCGCCAGGATGGTGATGTGATTGGCATAAATACACTGAAGGTGACCGCAGGGATCTCCTTTGCAATTCCCTCGGATCGCATTCGACAGTTCTTGGCTGATTTCCATGAGCGCCAGCTGAAAGGTAAGGGGAGTGAGGCCGACTTCTTCCTCTTGTGGGTTTTTTTTTTCTCCCCAGGAGCCCTCAATCTACTGCGGAGATAGTTTTGTGGCATACTGAGTCCCTGGTGCCCGCTTCCCATCACTGTGGTTCGGGCAGGAATGTGGGCTCCAGGTGCAAAACCAGGCGTGAATTGTACCCAGGAATATTTGGATTGAACTGTGGTGGACAGGAAACCTGACGGGGAGAAGTGGGGAGGTGGGTGGGAGGAGTGTCTGTATTAATGACAAATGCCTTCTCTGAGGCACATGTTTGCAGCTGACAGCCTGAGAAGGCAGCTCTGATGGTAAAAAAATCTCCTGTGACTCCAGTGTCTTTTAAGACCTGCTGACAGAGAAGTTTTGTTGATGGCAACACAGGATACTTTTCCTTTCCAGGAAAGACTCTGTCGCAGAAGAAATATCTGGGTCTGCGAATGCTGCCCCTCACTTTGAAGTAAGCATGGGTTTGGGTATGTCTGTTTTTTTTTTTTCCCCAGAAGCAAAAGCCATAGCTGGCACGTCTTCACAGGGCAATAGAAGTGTCTGGATTACAGCTGGGTGCTCTTGGGGCCGCAGACCCTGTTGATCACAGGGCACAGATCTGCCTCAGCCTACGCCAGCATTCGCTGTACTTTCAGTCATTTCTTTCACTGTGCCTACATTTTATGATGTCCAATGGTTCCAGCCTTTCAATAGAGAATCAGAGCACTCGCAGGGAGGAACAAGTGTGACTCACCTGATGGAAGCCTCTCTGGCTCCTCTGAGCCTTGAGAGAACAAGTAGATGACTGAGCTTCGAAGGCTTTGCCCAGGACTCATAGCAATTCACCCTGCTTCTTATTCTTTTTTTTAAATTAATTTATTTTTTATTGATTATGCCATTACAGTTGTTCTATTCCCCCCTTCATTCCCCTCCACCCTACACCCCCGTCCCCACCATTACCCCCCTTTAGTTTATGACCATGTGTCTCAAGTTTTTTAGATTCTATATTTCCCATACTATTCTTGGCCCCCCATGAATTTTCTATCTACTGTCCATGCTACTTATTTTCTGTACCTTCTCCCCTCTTCTCTTCCTCCCACTCCCCTGTTGCTAACCCTCCTTGAGATCTTCATTTCTATGTTTCCACTCCTGATCTAGCTGTCTTTTTAGTTTGCTTTCGTTTTAGGTGTGGTTGTTAATAACTGTGAGTTCGTTGTCCTTTCACTGTTCATGTTTCTTTAACTTCTTTGTCTTAGATAAGTCCCTTTAACATTTCATATAATAAGGGCTTGGTGATGATGAACTCCTTGAATTTGATCTTATCTGAGAAGCACTTTATCTGTCCTTTGATTCTAAATGAAAGTTTTGCTGGATAGAGCAATCTTGGTTGTAGGTCTTTGGATTTCATGACTTGGAATACCTCTTTCCAGCCCCTTCTTGCCTGTAAGGTCTCTTTTGAGAAATCCGCTGACAGTCTGATGGGAACTCCTTTGTAGGTGACTGTGCCCTTATCTCTTGCTGCTTCTAGGATTCTCTCTTTCATTTTAATTTTGGCTAATGTAATTATGATGTGCCTTGGTGTGTTCCTTCTTGGGTCCAACTTCTTTGGGACTCTCTGAGCTTCCTGGATTTCCTGGAAGTCTATTTTCTTTGCCAGAATGGGGAAGTTCTCCTTTATTATTTGTTCAAATAAGGTTTCCACTCATGGCTGTTCCTCTTCCCCTTCTGGTACTCCTATAATTTGGATGTTGAAGCGTTTGAAGATGTCCTGGAGGTTCCTTAGCCTCTCATCATTTTTCTGAATTCTTGTTTCTTCATATTTTTGTTTGGTCATTTTTTTCTTCTGTCTGGTCCGCTCCCTTGATTTGAGTCCCAGTTTCCTTTTCATCGCTATTGGTTTTCTGTGCAATTCCATTCATTATAATTAGTTTCACCTTCATATGTTTCTCTAATTTGTGGCTATAATCAACCAGATCTGTGAGGATCCTGATCACCAGTGTTTTAAACTGTGTGTCTGAGAGTTTTGCTATTTCTTCATCGCTTAGATTTATAGGCTCTGGGGCTTTGAGATCTTCTTGAGCCATTTTTGTTCTGTTTGTGCCCGTTAAGTATGAGGAACGGAGCCTTGGACTCCCAGGTCGCTGGGTTGTGACGCTGTATGTGGGGGCATGGTCAGAGCGGGGAAATGGTGACCCCCTCTTCTGCTTCTTGCCGCTAGGCCGCTAGGTGAGGAGCAGAGCCTTAGGTGGTTCCCCAGGGCTGGGCCACTCAGGTCGCTGGGTTATAACACTGTATGTGGAGGTGGGGTCAGAGCGGGGGGGTGGGGTGGGGGGGGAATGGCAGCGCCCTGCCGCTTGCTTCGGGGCCGGCTGGGACCCGTCCAATCGCCCACTCCCTCGCTGGTCTATCTGCACACCAATGCGTGACCACAGTCAACCCGCAGCCCTGCTCCCTCGCTGTTTCCCAGAGGTCGCTCGCTCGGTCGCTCACTAGGTCCAACCCTGCGCCTGGATTGCACGCACCTGAGTCCCTCTGACCGAGTTTTCCTGTGCAACCCCGCTCCGCCAGCTGTTGGTTTCGCCCCTTACCGGTCAGCCTGAAGAATTTGTTGTTATCAGACTTCCAAAAAGTTCAATTTTCTGTGTTCTGGCTGTGTTTGCTGTTGCTAATATTTAGTTGTCTCTAAACTTGGTTGTGTGAGAAAGCACGGTATCTCCACCTATGCCTCCATCTTGGCGGAAGTCTCCGTGCTTTATTCTTACTGAAAAACTCTTCTGACTTTTCGCAGCCTTCTTCAGGAAATGAAAAGGCAAGATCCAAACTTCCCTGCTGTGAGTTCCGGGGTCTTTGTATATGAGGTGATTCAAGGAACCGCTGCAGAAAGGTAAGAGAAGCTCAGTCCCCGAGAGGTGTGTGCTGTGGGAAAGGTGTGTGGCATCCAGCATAGGCCGTCCTGCTCGGGGTCCCCAACCATGAGTGGCCGTTGAATGCTTGAGATGTGGCTGATGTGACTGATGGACAGAATTTAAAATTTTATTTAATTTTACTTTATTCAAATAAAGAAGCCAGAAGCATGTGAAGTTTTTTCCATTGAACACACTTGGTTTTTTGCGGGGAGGGGGAGGACTGCCTTTCACTTTGGTCATTGCACTGTATGAGATGGTGTCATTCAGTGCCGTTTCTAGTGGATTCCACACACTTAAAACAGAGTGTGAAATACATACCAATGATTAGTAAAATATGACATGTTAAAGTTACATTTTAGATCTGTTGAGTTAAATAAGTTATAATTTTTAAAATTAAATTCATCTGTTTAAAATTTTTTGAAAAAAAAATATGGTTCCCAGAAAATTACAAATTACGTATAACATTTGTGGATTCCCTTACATTTCTACTGGATAGTAATGCTGATTTAGACTCGTGTACTGTAAGGGCTTTTGTTTTGGGGAGTGGTTCTCTGTAGCCTGGCAATGTGTGATATGTTACCAGCCTAAGTTTAAATTAATTTTACCAGGATCCCCAAATCTACCCTTTCAATACCTTAGTTATTAAGAATCAGAAGAACCTAAAGGGTTAAAAGTTCAAGAACAATTTGAGGTACCTTAAAATACTTTTTTCTTTGAACTCTGCATGACACTATTAGAGGGCAGCATTAATTAAACAAATAAACGAAGGACTAAATAAAGTGAATAAAGCAGAGGTTAGAGTAGATATTGCTCTCCAAGGAAGATCTTCCAGCTAACTTTACTGTTGTTTTGAACATTTATACTGACTACTGAGGGAGGAGGTGGCTTGTCCAACAATTATTCTCCTGGCTTTCTCAAACTTCTTCACTATCCCTCTGTCCCTGTATCTCTTGGTCAGTTTTTCAAGAGTTCAATAATCTGTTTAGATTATGGCAACTCTTTTAGTAGGGAGCAAGAAACTATAGGGTACTACCTGTTCAGAATAGCTAAGTGTTATGTCTCATGTTACTAAATTTGGCTTGTCACAGGCTTTCCTAGACTTTCTTGGTCTCCTCTGTCCCCCTTATTTTTAACTTCTGGTTCAAGGCCAGAGCTATCTCAGCTCTCCAAGTCCTTGCTACTCTAGATGTGGTCTGTAGACCAGCTGCCTTAGCATCAGCTGGAGCGTTTTCGAAATGCAGAATGGCAGGCTCACCGCTGAATCAGAAACTGCATTCTGAACAAGATCTCCGTAATGTGACGACGCACAGTAAATGGGGGAATTACTGCTCGATGTTACTACTAACCCAGAAATCTGTCCTGGCTCCATCCACTTATCTCTAAGACTAATGACAACAATGATAGTGATAACAGCTGGCATTTATTACCCACTTACTATATGTCAGGCACCACCTTACGTGTTCTATATGCTAGGTTTGAGCCCACAGCAGTCTTGCGATATAGGCATTATTTAACAGAGGAAGCAGCTGCGGTATACAGAGGTTAACGTGAAAGTTACACAGACAGCAAGGAGATGGACCCTGACTTAACCCCTGTGCTGTCCTGCTTTGGTGGCTGCTCTTCTTGCTTCTGAAAGGCAGATGTCCAGTGGCAAGAAAGTGGGGTTTGAGGTCTGAGACCAGGGATCAAATCCCACTTCAGCCTCTCACAAGCTGTGGGACATGTATCCTGTCTGAGCCTCACTTTCTCATGCTTGGTGCATCGACCGCACTCAGTAACAATTTGCAGGTTTCTTTCTTTTCCCCTCGCAGAACTACCATGAATAAGCTCCTTCTTCGCGCCTGTCCCAGTCGTCTTCCTGGACTAACCTTGTTCTAGAGGCTTTCCATGCTTTTAGCTCTATCTACCTCTAAACTTTTCTTCACGTCCTGTTGCTTTAAATTTCTCCTGTTTTTCAATAAACTCCACATATCTTGGTAATCCTTTCTATGATTCCTCCTTGGGTTTCCCATTTCTCTTAAAGGGTATCTCCTGAAGTCATTTAATGTTATGTCCCTCATCCAGCCTAACTTTGACTTTAAGACAAATCAACAGCATAGCTGTATATTTATTCCAGTGTTGGAGGTGGTTTTGCTTTCTAGAATATACATTCTAAGTGAAGCAAATTTGTAGGAGACTCAGTAAAATCTCGACTCTGGTCCAGAATTAGAGTCTTAACTATTTAGACTGGGAAGAGTGACTGGTTTTTTACTTCTGGGAGCAGAGCTTTTCACAGTGTAGCTCAACACACTCCCGTTCTGAAAGCTCTGGTTGAAGGTGGGGCACGTGGACTGATCGAAGTGTAACTGTCTGGGGAAAATTATAGTTTTTGGACTTTTTATGTTTGCCCCTAAGACTGGGTGTATGCTTGAGGTTAATAGAGGTCAGACATTAATAGAAATTTAAAGCTAAACTCCTTACTCCAAACCAAACCCAATATATGGGAGGAGTAAACTTCTTACACACGATTCTGATAGAGTATTAATTTTATAAAGGTAAATACATTGTGTCCTCCAGGTGATTTCACAGCAGAGCTTAGAACAGTCCTCATATTTGAAAGGATGGAGGCTATTTCTGGTGTCTTGGTTGGTATATTTACTGCCAGCGAAATGGCAGTGCCTTCGGAGACAGACATTACATACTGACTGGGGATAAGTAACACTCTCAGACTTTCATGGTCCTTTCTCCCCTCTGTCCCAGCTCTGGGCTGAGAGACCACGATGTAATTGTCAGCATAAATGGGCATCCTGTTACCACCACGAACGACGTTGTTGAAGCTGTTAAGGACAATGATTCCCTTTCCGTCACAGTTCGTCGGGGAAGTCGTGCTTTGATCCTGACAGTCACACCTGAAATAATCGATTAAGTATCTTGCTACAAAGAGAAATTATCTAACAAAACCAAGGCTGTATTACCTGGTTTGTATTGAAGACGTGCCAAAGATGGCGAGCGGATTTAGCATCTCATTCTTATACAGGACAATGAACGCTTAAACACAGATACACGTTCAGGGACCATCGGGTTGGGGCTGGTACTGCTGCTAAGAGGCCTTACTGAGCCAGTGGAAGAATGTGGTGCCAGGAAGTCTGGGAAGCTGATAACATTTTATTTAAAGATAGGAACAGCGGAAAAACAGCCAGTTTCTAATTTAACCTTGACAGAAAGACACTTAGTATTTTAAAACTCTATAGCCACAAACTGGATATCATACACATACACACACAGGTGGTGGTCCCACGAGGTATCCAGACCTGCCTCCTAGGTCTGGCTGTTTGGGCTGAAGTCTGGGCATCCCCTGCAGTGCCTGGCCCTCCCTGGGCAGGCAGGTGCCTCCTCTTCTAAAAGCAGTGCACTGCACACTGCAGGAGTCCCAGGGCCCTGTCCTCCTGTCCGCTCACCAGCCTGGAAGAAGCTGAGTCCTAACTGCAGGAACCAGCTGGGAAGCTGGAGACCTAATTCTCCAAAGGAGAGGAGTTTCCAGAACTCTGCAGAGGGACCCTAGGTCCTCCCACAGTACACCTTGGCCACTGGGATCCGTGCCCCACCACTCTAGCCTTGTCCCCGGCTGTCATACTCCAGTCTTCAGAGCAGCTGGCCCCTGTTGAAATAGGTGATGGTAGGACGGACAGTGGGAGCCAGGTGCTCCTTCTCTTTTTGTCTTGCTGGACCCAGAGGGAGCCCAGGCAGTGGTGAGGTACCACCTTTCTGTAAAGCTCCGGGGAAGCAGGGGCGTGTCACCAGGCCCTGTCACGCCCAGGAGCTCAGCATCCACAGTCACCCTCTTCCCCAGTCCCAGAGAGGGTCCCCAGTCAGAGCTGGAGTCAGGAAGCTGGAGAACACACACACACACAAACTGATCTATCTACCAATTATTAAAAAACAACCTGAATCCAGCAGTGCAAAGGAAAGAACACTTTTTATTAATATTCCCTTATGCAATCAGTTTCTCAGGTTGTATCATATTTGGACAGGGTTTATAGATACAGAGGATAAATACCATGTATAAGTCAAATTGAAACTGACAATTGTGGATTGTCACAGAAGTTATTACTCTAGCAGTGGAAACAACTTCGATCTCCAACAGCTTTTCTGACCGCAAGAAGGGCTTTTATAAAATAGATACTTCAATAAATTATAGCCCTGACTTTTTACCCATGATCTTCCTCCTGGCAACATAAATGATTTGAGTCTGAAAGCTGCCCAAGTGTCTTTTTTTTTTTTTTTTAAAACCAAATAGCTTTTGATGGGGTTTGCGATGCTCTTTAAGGAAATTTAACAAAAAACAAGTTGTGAGATGGGGTGGAATTTGTGGCTTATAGTAGTATATTATTTTGGGTAGGATTTTAATTTCAGCTTGTTTTCTGGACTTCTAAGTCAGTTTTTTATATGACATCAATGCAAAATTTTATGTGTTTGTGTGCTTTTCTGGGGAGAGGGTCCAGTTTCTTATTGACCTACAATTTAAAAAGCACTGCCTTAGAGTATAGAGATTATGAATAAAAATCTACCAATTGTTACTGTTGTGAAGGTTAAGGTCAGTGTGGTACAGAACTTTCAAGGCAGAACAAAACAAGCTGTTTTAAATTTCACACAGTTTCCACCATTTAATAATATAAGAACAGTGAACATACTGACTGGGGGTAATAAAGCTGGAACTTTAGGAAAGCCATTTGGTAATGGTGGAGAATATCCAGAGGTATTTTTACTGCGATTCTTGATCTTTAAACCAATTCTTATGAAACTAAACTTTGCATGGTTCTACCTTGATTATTTCTAGAAACTGTAAGTTATTCCAGATAGCAGGATCTTAGCTGACTTCTCTATAAGGTTCTTTTACTTTGTATTTAACAGTTCTTTTCAACTTGGATGGCAAAGATGGAACTAAGTTTACAAAACCACTTACTGGTCAAAACATTTCCTTTATCCACAGTGATCTGGGAATGTGAGAGTCTGGTTGTGTCTCTTTCTCCATGACTGACTGCTGTTGCCACAGTAACAGCTTCTGGCATGAAGCTTATTTTTACAGAAAGTACCCCGTTTCTCCTTCTCCCCGCAAATCACATCCTAAATCTTCCCATCACTCAGTAATAATGTCCTTTAAGGAAGAGTCTGTTGTTCCTTTCAGGAGCACGATGCTCCTCACCTTATCTTACCTAATCATGAAGAACAGTTTTAGAATCATTTGCATGAAGTCTTTTTTTTTTTTTTTTTTTTTACCGGCTTACAACATGAGCTCCCTAAACTGGTAAATGCTACCTTTCGGACAAGGAAAATTCTGCTGAGAGGATAGCCAACTCAGACAGGTCTGATACTGCAGGCTCTTAAACCAGAATGGAATGAAAAAATTATTTCCAGGTGTATATATATATTTCCATGTATACATTGGCTCTTAAGTAAGTATAATAATGGTGAACCTATAGGGTTCGTTAACAGGGTAGTTCACTTCAATGGCCTAGCTTTTAGCAAAACAAATATAATTTTGAGTTTCACTCTACATTCTGAGAATACCCAAACAGCATTCCAGGTTGGCAAAGTTTATAATACAGTTTAAATTCAGGAAGTCAGAATTTCAGTGTGTATTCAACTGCATGGCCATTTCTACTTCCGCTGAAGATTTTCATTGGTTCGGCTTCAGTTCTCCTCTGCATGAGCTTCAGGATCACAAAAGGAATCACAAGGCTAAAAATACTCTTTGCTCATCCCATTGGGTCCACTTGCTCCAAAGGACCGAGAGTAGCCATGTACAGAGATAAAAAGTGTAGAAACCCTTCCATAGCTTATAAGCTAGTTGCTAGCCTTTATATTTTGTATGTGAGGAAAGGTTTAAACTTGGTTCCCACAAGAGTGTTTGCTTGTCATTTCTAGTTTGCAAGGTAAAATTTGGGTTGAAAATCCACAGTCCAAAGAAGCCTTCCTAACCAAAGCCATTCCCTCCAAAGGGGGCAAGTAACGGTCAGGCCTGACATCAAGGAAGAGTCCCGAGCCTGCAGAGATGAGTTCAGAAGACTGGCCTCCCAGGGCCATAAGAGCAGCTCTTTTTAGTACACAGTGCACCAATTGCTGCCATCACTTGGCATCAGCCCTCCAGTTATAAGTAATATAAGGTCAACAAACCACCAAATCCCGAGTCCTCCCAGTGTCAACAGCTTCCCTACTGCTGTGCCAGTGTGTCCCAGACAGAAACGGTCCACTCCAAAGCATCCCAGGAAGAAGGAGTAGAGTAGAGTGGTTATGAAGTAGTGTCCAGTATACCTAGACAAGAGGGATGAAAAGGAAGATGTTTACCACATGAAAATTAAAACACCTAATCGGTGAATTTAAAGAGAGTGAAAAGATGGTGCGGCCAGTTCCTCTGTGGCCTCTCACTCTCTTACCACCTACCCCCTCCAAAAGATCTTGTGTTGGTCTAGGATCTCAAAAGCATAATTGCTAAGATGTGGAGGCCCTGTAAGACAAATACTGAGCTGGACGGTCCTGGACAAGAAATGATCAAGCACATCAGCACAAAGGCCTCCTGGAAGGAATGGAGTCTGGGCGCCCGCTATTCCCTGCCCAGGCTCCTGAGGCCGTAGCTCTGCATGCAGTTCTCTAAGGAAGCGTCGACTTCCCTTAAGTGAACGCTGATCTCCATATACCTGTTTTGCTGTCGTGTGGCAACTAAAAATGGGGACATCTTCATAAAGACGTGCGTCTTACGTACTGCAATGATAGTCAACTGTAGTTACTTTAATATCATCATTAAACATAGTCACAGACTCTTCATTAGCCAGTGGCGTAAGTAAATTCTGTGCCTTCAAACAGTTTGCAGAAATAACACTGATTCTTTAAGATAAACTTATTTTCAGAGAATGGCCCATAATTTTCATAATAAAACATTTCTTCCTAAAATACAAAGGCTGTTTTCACAGAATTTATGCCTATAATGGGAATTTTAGAGCTAGATCATCTGGTCCAACTCCTTCATGTTGTAGATGAAGGAACAGAGACTATGAGCACCCAAAGGTACTTAGCTAGTTGGTGAAAGAGACATTTGGAACTAATGGCGTCTGGTTTTCAGTCCAGTGTCATCTCTATTAGAATTACATCATCTCCATTTACGGATTATGCACAGCAGTAATCCATAAAAGAAAAGAAAGTAAAAGAAAAATTTACATCAAGAGATGACAAGGAAAACAGCTCTACCTTCATCCAAGTACCAACTACCCACTCAAAGTAACACTTACTTTATACAAGGTTTATTCTCGCGCAGGAAGGTCCTAGGACTGGCGCACTCAATTCCGTCCAGGGCGCGGCACTGGACGGATGTATGTTCCACGTCACTGTAGGCCTGACCACCGAACTGTGGAATGACAACCAAAGCAAAAGAAACTAAACCAGGATCAGGATGATAATTATTGTAATTATCATCCTGAAAGGGAAAGCTGTTGGAAAGAACCAGGAATTTAGTGACATACTTCAAGTGATTATAAATTAGTTCATCCTAAATGTACATTGTTTTAAATAAACTCTTCTCTTTTTTCTTCTTTATGAATGGTGTCTTTGATAATACAGGTAATAATCAATTTTGGTAAATGCCAGTTACAGTGCTGGACACAATGCTTAATTATCTTTCATTTACAAGGAAAAAAAGCACAGTACTGAGCATTTGGGAATGGGTATTTAAAAACTTGATGTGTATTAGAGTTCTGTTTTATATATATTATAAATGAACATAGGAGAGAAGAGTTCAGAATATCAACTGACTCATAACTTTATTTAGGCCAGGAATGTGTAATTAATAGTTATTTGTAGTACATGTACAGTATGTTTGAATTTCAGCATAAAACTTCAGAACAGGCCCTCTGACCCTTTGTAAGACTGAATTCTGGGAGAGAACACAGAGCTCTACATTCTCTACTGGCACCTAGTTTTGCTGGAGCATTTCTCAAAGGGAAGGAAGCAGGAAATAACGATGCTTTCTCCTTGTATCTCCCCCAGGGACTCAGGTGCCCGAGGACTCCCAGTCCTCTAGAACTTCCGGGGGAAGTAACAGTTTGAGTGCCTTGACAGAATCAATTCAGTTTTTAATTTTAATGGGCAAAACTAAGTGACTTCTATAAAATGCTAACTCAGACTTTTATCAATAATTATCAAGAGAACAAAAATCTCACTGTATTAAGAATATTTATTTACAAGCCCTGGCTGGTGTAGCTCAGTGGATTGAGCATGGGCCTGCGAACCAGACAGTCGTGGTTCGATTCCCAGCCAGGGCACATGCCTGGGTTGCAGACCAGTTCCCTGCAGGCCAATTCCCAGCAGGGGACACATGAAAGGCTACCATACATTGATGTTTCTCTCCCTCTCTCCTTCCCTTCCCCTCTAAAGATAAATAAAATCTTAAAAAAAAGCCTCCTGAATAAGTGTATGAAACTTGTTGAATGAGCAGCTTAAAGTACCATGATTTAAAAAAAAAAAAGAATATTTATTTACACATGACTGCAGTGTGAGTTGCCTTTTTAGTTTTATTACTTTCAGGTTTATTCCTCTGTGTCTGATTTAGTACAAGAATGTTTTCCTACAATTCTGTTACACCTGCGTCTTGACTTGCATTATGCAGCACAATATAACACAATGGTGAGCCCACAGTGCAGAGAAAGTACATGAATTTCACTGGTTTTGAGGGGTCTGAGTAGGCAAGGTGCACTTAGCTTAAGGGATATTAATGGAAATGGATAGTTTCTCTCTATTCCAAGAGGCTATTGATTACTAAATGCTTCTCCTTGATTGCTATGACCCCCTACAAAGACATAATAGATCGTATTTGTTTCCACATGGTAGAAACTGCTTGCCTGGTATAAAGCAAGTTAATTAGCAAGAGAAGATTTGCTCCAAATGCATGTGTAATGAACATACTGCTCAATTCATCATCAGTTTCAGAAAGTGCATAAGCCTTTCTTTTGCTCTTTCAGGAAAGTGCATGCCTTGAAGGACAGTTAGGGGTAACATTTTGGCTTCAAATCCATCTATGTCAATGGCCAAAAGAAATCAGAGGCAGGTTGGTCTTTGCATCTTGGTAGTTTTGACAGAGACTGCTTCTTCCTGAGGAAACTAAATGTCTTGTTCAGTAACTGACCCTGGCCAGAAATTTCCAACAACAGTCATCCTAATGAATTCTACAAACAGGTAACTTCATACTCCTTATAGGGCTTGTACTTTTCAGTAACTTTTTCATACATTTCTGGAAGAATTTGATAATAAGACAAAATAAGAACCCACCTTGAGACAACCATAACCAAGTTCCTGGGATGCGGTTGCATTTCCAACATGATCCACTGGGTCTTCACATTCTATGAATTCATCAGGTCTATAAATCAGCAGAATCATAATCATCACATGGTTTTTGCAAATGGCTGTTTATATGTATATAGTCAAACCAGGCAAGAGACATTTCTTGAACTTTTACTTTCATCCTGACTCTTCCCCAAGACAAGAGATGGTGTCAGTTAGACTAAAGCATGGAAGATCAAACAGACAGCCATCCAAATAACCCTACGTGGATTCTAGTTCTGCCACGACTTCATCTCTTCCCTAGGTAAACAGCTGCAAGGCTTTGAGGGCAAAATTGAGACCAAAGAAGTCCCAGTTCTCTTCGCATTTCCCAAACGCCTTTTCTCATTTGACTGAAAAGAGATGTTACAAAATGAATTGGTTTTGCAGTGGTAGTGGTATTACTTTTTTCTAGGAAGTACCTTGTAGGCAGGGACAAGTAATTTACTTCATTTGTTTCTCACGCAGTACCAGCCCCTATGATGGAGTCTCTTTCGGGTAAAAAGGAGCAGGACGGCGAAGGTTCAACCTCGTACCCTTCTTCCGGAGGCTATTCGATGTCACTCCTTTCTAGTTCTCTTTTTTTGGATGCCAAAGAATCTGCCACCCACACACAAGGTTTTCCCCTGCATGGGTGAGAGGAGTGACAAACCTGTCATGATATTCACCTCCCATTTGTTGACTATCAGGTCCTCCGCTGGAGAGTCCGGAAAAAAAAATAAAGCAGCTCCCCTCTCCTTCTCCCACCACTCCCAGCACGACACCCTCACACCCTTGCCCTATCGCCATCTCCACCTGCCTCGACGACAGGGTAGCTTACAGGTAAGAGCAAAGGATGACTGGAGAGTTGGGGTCGCCATATTCCCAGCTCGAAGCACCCGCGAATTCCGGGTTGGTGGCGCCAGCGGATGTGAGCTCCGGCTCCGCGGTAGCGTTGTATGAGTGGCTCCGAGAGACACAATGCAGCAGAAGTAGATTCCCCAGCAGCAAAGCCGCCTGGCCGCAGAGAAGTAAGTAACTCACCGGGCAACCACCCAGCACCATCTTCCTGGGCCCAGTGGCGGAGACCGGGCCTCCTTAACCACAAACCCGGCGGGCACCGGGGACCCAAGCTCTCTGCCTAGTCTGGTCTCTTCCCGGAGCCCCGTTCCTGGCTGCCAAACAGCCAATGGGCACGTAGCCCGGCGCTCCGCCCAACCCTGATAACCAATCAGAAAGGGCTGCGCAGGGGGCGGGAATGTGCCTTGCCTTTGCCTGTCAATTCCACTTCTGCGTCACACGCTCCTCCTTTTTCTCTTACAGCCTCCTCCAATAGGTTCCTTCGACCCCCAGAGTAGGCGGGCCTGGGAGTGGAAATAAGCGCGGACAGTGAATGGGCGGGGCAATTTAGTGCGGGTTTTAGCCGGCAGATAGCAATCCCATTCTCTCGCCCTAGACTGGATTTTTCCCTACGTCAGCGGTGGCGAGCTCCATGTCGGGAGCGAGCTCGGATAAGAGCGGAGTTGCGTCAGTGGCGAGCGCGTGTTCGTCCTCGGGCGCGCGCATCCCTGCTAGCTCTGGGGCCCCGGCAGGGTTGGGAAATGATGGAGCAGGCGGACGCAGGAGCGATCGAATGTTGAGTAGAACCTGCGGAATCGGCCGAGATGGGATCCCGCGCGGGCTCGCCCTTTGGGACCCTCCGCTTCCAGTGGTTGCTGTTGTTTGGCTTGGTAGGCCCAGTCTTTGGTGGGGCTCGGCCAGGTGGGTGTCCGCCCCCAGGGACCTTTGGGATTGGTGTTTCCTAGGGCTGGGACCTCGGAGTTACCCCGCGGTGCCTGGGAGTGGAGGGGCCTGGCCTGGCTACTGGACTCGGGGTCGGGAGGCGGAGCCGCTCCAGCTGTGTGTGGACAGTGCTCAGACCCTAGGTCCAGTGTCTGGCGCCCAAAACCCTTCGGGGCACTGGTCTTCTGTCGGGTTCTTCCTCCGTTCCCTGCTTGACAGTCTTTGGCGGTTCTCCCCACCTCCATCTCGCGCAAAGCTGGGTACTCCAGACTCTCCAGACTACTCTGGATCTGACTCGGACCTCGGGGAGTCTGCTGGGTGCGCGCCGAGGGTGTGTTCACATTTAAACTGTTTTGAGAACTGGAGCTTTGTCTTGCTGGTGAAGTTAATGTCACTTGGAAACAGGCCGGGAGATGGAACTTTTGGTCCAGGTTATCATAACTGGAAATTTTGACGTTCATTTTTTCAGTGGGTCCACCGAACTAATTTTAGTGATGGAATAAAGGTGTGTGCATGCCCATTTTTCTTGGGCCATTTTGTTGTAGTAAGAATACTTCTTTTTGGAGGGGCTATGTTTCTTTGGTCAGTCTTTTACCTGGATTTTTCCTGGGTTTGTAATGTTTTAAGTCCGGACAAATAATTTGCACGATGCTAAAGTTACATGATTTATGTGAAATCGCTTTTGAATTGTGAAACTTCCTTTGAATATGTGAAGTATTAATACTGGAGATGCCCATAGTGGGAGCAAATTGCCAACATTCTAACTACTTTTTGGACACAACTTTATTCTGTCTCTTGTATTGAATTGTTTCCATGGCTATATTTTCTTGATCAGTTATAGAGTATGATGGAGAATGTTTTTTTTTTTTTTTTTTTACTGAATCATTGCCTTAAGAACTGGTCAAAGGGGATGACAGGAAATTTCAGTGCCAGGCTGCTGACCTTCAGGACATTAGTTACATTTTTTCTTATCTTTGTCTTATTCTTTTTTCAATTAAATGAATTTGCCCTATCGCAGGAATTTTAAAGCTCCCGATAATGAGACTTTATTGCGGAGAGCTACTGAATTTTTTCTGGTTAAGAGTGTTTTTGCTGTGGCATTCTGGAGGGTTAACGTTTACCAATATTTAAGGTGCAGTAGTTTATACATCCAAGTTTTTAGTAATCTATGATTCAGCGTGTTTTCAAACATAACTAACACTACATTTTTAATGTTAATGTATATTGATTATTATATGCTTGCGTATAGATGTATGGACTATCCTTGTGGTTTCTAACTCTGGCTTTAACAGTTTATGGCCAGTCCCTCATTTAAGCCTGTGTATGCTTTCAAACTATAGTCAGTGTTCATTGAACTCCTATGAACACCATGCTCAGTTCTTTTGGAGGGGCAAAGGGTGACTACATTTGCTAAGTATCTGAGGGATGTTGGGGAAGGTTCCATAGAGAAAGCGATATTTGAACTGATGTATATTGGTGAATGTTCAAGTAAAGGGATAGGAATCCATTCTAAGCAAAAGAGTTTTTCCAAGAGTATGAAGGGGTGAAAGAACATGACTTGTTAGGAACGATGAGAACATCCCCAGGCAGTTGCTATGAAAGGGGGGCAAGGGGAAGCTAAGGTAGATTGGTACCAGCTGGGAAGAGTCTTCTATGCTCTAAGGGGTTTGAACTTTGCCCTCTAGGTCAAGTTCTTTGGGTAAGAAGGTTTTTAAGTAGGGTGTGTTACATAACCAGACTTGCCATGGAGGTAACTGGCAACACAATGGATGACAATGTGTGAGGTACAGGTTGGAAGCTGAGAGAACCGTTAGGAGGCTTTTGTAATAGTGTATAGTGAGTCAAGTCATGTTTCCCCACTAGAATGTTCTTCCAAAATCAGATGACTAAACTTTTGCAATACAGGAAGGGTGTTTAAAACATGCACTGCAACCTTTTTCTGCTAATGGGAGAGAAATCTTAGGATTCAATAAGCACTGTCTACATAGCAGTCAAATAGGTTTTGCAAGAATTTTTACTGCCATTGTGTCAATGAGGAAGTGCAGCATAAATTCCAGACAGCTGACACTCACAGTAAAACTTTTTTTTAAACTGGGATTAACAAAAGTAACTATGTATGGTTGTGAAAAATAACACAGGGAACCAGGTATGAAACCTCTACCGATTTTCTTCTTGAAGGTAGTAATTATGATGAGTAGGTCTAGAATTTTAAAAAATGAACATTTAAAAAGACTAGCATTCTAAAGAAAGTAAGTTTTAAAGTGTAATTACTCATGGTGAATCATTGTAAAATGAACTATATAATAAGAACTAAGGTCCACACTAATTTTGTTTTTTGGTGCCAGCAAATTATTTGAATTTGATGTTTATGTTTGTACTGTATAGGAGACTGTAGTCTTTTAAATTTAAAGATAGCTTGGTTCTCACTTAAAGCCCTATACATGTTTTTCTGAAGAAAACTGGGCACAATGGAAGTACTCAAATACTCTGTGAAAAAAAATAAATGCTGGTCTCCACGACATAGCGAAAATTGGGGGCAAGCTTCTGAACAAATAGTTCTGTAGAAAATTCTCTATTCTTGGTTATTTATAAGTAAACAGATGTTTATCCCAAAGTTTATACCTAAACGAGAGAAAGTTCTGCAACTAATTCATCTTTTAATAAACTAAAACACTATTGAGTTGCAAAAATTCCTCCAGTGCATTATATGAGCTAAAATTTTAATAAGTAGTGAGAGAGTTTGGTAGAACTGAATACTTCTACTTGTCATTTTGGATAGCACATGATCAGCTTCTCCAAGAAGTCTTTCATAACCTTTTATTGTAATTGTTCAAGTATTGAAGATACTGCAAGTGAAATAGTTTCCCTTCCTGTCTTCCATTACCCTGGGAAGCCTGTGGTGTAAAAATTATATTGTAACCATCATTGTATTCCCACTGCATGAAGATATGCCTAGTGCAGAGAAATTGTTTGAAATTTGATTGACAAATGAAAATATATGATAATATTCTATAAATATTCTTTTGGGGTCAGCATGGTTCCTCTTATATTTCTTGACCTAATAACCCCTGGACATTTGTTATCTATGTTGCTGTAAGAAAAGACAATAAGGAGCCAATCATATGCCCAGGGCTACTGTTTATAAACTAGTATGGGGGAAAATGGTGTTCTTGAGCTACAGCCTTCCCTAGAGAATCAGCATAAAAGTCTCCCTTCAGCAAACCATAGCTTCATTAATTAATTATTCCCTCCTCTAATGCTCTCTGATATTAGCAGTTTACATGTAAGTGAACTGCAGCAGGTAAAATATATAATGAAATATTTGTACTGAGCAGGGTGATGGACTGGATATGGTTGTCTCATTGATTTTAACTTAGTGGTCAGGTTAGGTATTAGTAGACCAATTTGAAGTATGAATAATAGGGTTTTTTTTGTTTTTAATGTAACATATTCCCTTATTTGCCTGCCCCTGTGAGATATTTCTTGATTCCTTTAACATCAGGCTGGTCCCAGCAGGATGTACCATCGAAGTGAAAGAATGCAGTCTACACCTTCTAGCCAATTGTCTTAGCTTTCTTTGTTATGAGTGGCTTTCCTGAGTGGTTGAGAGTATTATAACCCATGGTGATGGGGTGTAATTTATCTTAGGTAAACCAAAGATGCATGCTACGTTTCTAAATACTGTTTATATCTGTTGATAAAAAGAAACTGTAAATGTGTTATTGTTATCTGGCAATTAAAATATAGTTTCAAATGGAATAAAAAAACAAAGACAGTTTGGTTTTCAACTTTTAGGTAAAAAGTAAAACATTTAGAATGAAAATATATACAGAACATGTTGCTGGGTCCCAGCACAGTGTTCAAAAAATGCTTTAAATTTAACCGTACCAAAGTATAAGGTACTTTTATATATTTTTATTTTGATCAATCTTGTTTTTTTATGAATTTCCCCCCCTCCCCCAAAGATGCAATCTCTGAGTAACCGCAGGCTTTTTCTTGGAATAGCCACAAGCCCAAATACATGACAAACAGCCTATCTATCTATCTGCCTATCTACCCCCCTTGGATACCTGGTCTGTAGCAGAGTCTTGGAGTTACACAACCCTGTGAGTCAGTGCTGCCGGACTGACTGCCGAAAAGTAAATCTAGTCTCCCTGGTGTCTCAGTGACTAACCCTCCACTACCTTGGAAAGTTGGAGCGCTCTTTGAATTGTATACTTTTGTTTTTATATTGAGAAATTAGTGTTTATTTTGTGTCAGTGTTATTTTAGTCAAATAATTTTTCCAACATGGTGAGATATGATCCTTTTTTTTTTTTTTTTTTTTTTTTAGTATCAGGGGAGAAAAAGGATACTTCTTGAATCACATCTTTTAAGAGTAAGTTAGGGAACCTAAGAAGTTCACTTAACTGTTTTAAAATATACAGTCGTGTGTGTATTCATTTATGTTTATCTTAACATGAGACTTAGTGTATTTCAGTTTATAATAAGTCAAATGATGCCACTGCCAAACATTTGCTGTACTGTGTGACGAAACCCATTCCCATAGGCAGAAATGCCTTTTCCCCTTTGACACATTTTTCTTTCAATGAGATGTCTCATGGTTTAACTCATGTTAGGAGGACTCCCCACTTTGGTTTCTCCTGAGAACCCTCAGGCAGTAGATCCCTGGAGATTAGCTTTATGGACTTATTATAATCCTGCTGTGAGTAGCAGACGCGCTGATCCCAGCTGCTGGAAAGGAGTGGTTAAGCAGTCTGTGGCACAGAAATACGATGGAATATAGTATTGTGGTTAAAATGCCAGATGTGTGGGCCACATGCAGCTGTGGAAAATGGGTATAAAGGATGTCAATGTAAAGCTTACTTTGGGTTGTACATGTTCATTGCAATTACGAGTTGTGTGTATGTATAGCAGTAAGGGTAAGATGAGGTCGTTAACTCAACATACACTTATTAAATATTTCCTGTACTGCACAGA